CATGGCACTGTTGTCACAGAGCAAAGAAGGAATGCTGCTTTTTCAAGCCCATGACCCATTCTGGAAGGAATGTCAGTCGCCATATTGATTTTACCAATAATACTATCATGTCTGCTTAATGACTGAATCCTCCTTTGTAAATTATTCCTATTTTTGTTTAAGATTTTATTTATTTATTTTTAGACAGAGAGGAAGAGAGTGAGAAAGAGGGGGAGAGAATCATCAATGTGTGGTTGCCTCTAACATGCCCCTTACTGGGGACCCGGCCTGCAACCCAGGCATGTGTCCTGACTGGGAATAGAACCAGCAACCCTTTGGTTGGCAGGCCAGTGCTCAATCCACTAAGCCACACCAGCCAGGGCCTCTTCTGTAAATCATTTCAACCTAATAGATAAGCATTGTCCTTTGCTTCTTTATACCCATCAATATTTTTCTTTTTTTTAAAGTATATTTTATTGATTATGCTGTTACAGCTGTTCCAGTTTTTCCTTTTGCCCCTCTCTGCCTCATACCACCTTCTCTCCAGCAATCCCCCCACCTTAGTTCATGTCCATGGTTCCTGCTGTGTAAGTTCTTTGGCTTCTCCCTTTCCTATACTATTCTTAACATTCCCCTGTTTATGTTGTTCTTACCAGTTCTGTTTCCCGATCCCTGCACCGTTGTCCCCTTTCTCTCCATTTCCCCTCCCTGCTGATAATCCTCTATGTAATCTCCATGTCTATCATTTTGTTCCTGTCTAGTTGTTTACTTAGTTTATTTTGTTTTTATTTTTTATCTTCAGCTGTTGGTAGGTGTCAGTTTGTTGTCAATGTTCATAGTTTCGATCTTTTTCTTACGTAAGTCCCTTTAACATTTCATGTAAAAATGGCTTAGTGATGATGAATTCCTTCAGCTTTACCTTGTCTGGGAAGCACTTTATCTGCCCTTCTATTCTAAATGATAACTTTGCTGGATAGAGTAATCTTGGCTGTAGGTCCTTGCTTTTCATCATTTTGAATGCTTCTTGCAAGCCCCTTCTTGCCTGTGAGGTTTCTTATGAGAAATCAGCTGGCAGTCTTACGGGAACTCCTTTGAAACTCTCTGCTTTTCTCTTGTTGTTTGTAAGATTCTCTCTTTATCTTTAACCTTAGGCATTTTTAATTATGATGTGTCTTGGTTCGGTCCCCTTTGGGTTCAACTTGATTGGATTCTCTGTGCTTCTTGGACTTGCATGTCTATTTCCTTCACCAAGTTAGGGAAGTTTTCGCTTATTATTTTTTCAAATAGATTTCCAATTGCTCGCTCTTTCTCTTCTTGTTGTTTCTCTTCTTGTTGTTCTGATTGGTTGTTTTCTGCTTCCTTATGTTCCAAATCATTGATGATTCTTGACTTCATTCACTCCACTGTTGTTTCCCTGTAAATTGTTCTTTATTTCAGTCAGCGAATCCTTCATTTCTGACTGGATCTTTTTTATGCTGCTGAGGTCCTCACTAAGTTCCTTGAGCATCGTCATAACCATTGTTTTGAACTCTGCATCTGATAGGTTGCTTATCTCTATTTTGTTTAGCTCTTTTTTTTGTTTGTTTTGATCTATTCTTTCATTTGAGGTTTCTTTTTCTCCTCATTTTGCCAGCCTCTTTGTGTGTGTTTGTATGTATTAGGTAGAGCTGCGTTGACTCTGTGTCTTGGTAGTGTGGCCTAATGTAATAGGTGTCCTGTAGGGCCCAGTGGCACAGCCTCCCCTATTACCCAAACTGCGTATTCAAGGTGTGCCCTTCATGTGGGCAGAGTACACCCTTCTCTTGTAGTTGAGCCTTGGTTGCTATTGGTAGATCAATGGGAGGGATTACCCAGGCCAGTCAGCTGCAAGGATTGGCTGTGACTAATTACCATTAACCTCTAATCTCCTTGGAGGAACAGCTGTGCAGGGGCAGGATGGTGCTCTGACATGGTCTGTAGCTGTCCACTGGGTGCACTGGCCCTAGGGTTTCCTGGGTGGTACTGGCCAAGTTCACCCCCCAACCTGTGTTTTGTCCTGGGGCCACATTGCCTGGGCTATAAAGCTATCTGACAAGTTTGCTACTTGTGCTGGGCTTGGAGATTCCCAGGGGAAGCTATGCTGTAAAATTAATCTGGCTTCTGCTATTGCCTGGCCTGGAGCTCACTGAGGCCAGATATTGCTTGTTTGATAGGATTTAGGAAGTTGTGAAGCATGAGATAAGACCATATGGAAAAGCAGCTTGGGTGGGCTCACAAGTTGGGTGGGGCTGAGTCTTTGGGGCTCTCCAAGGTGGGTCAAACAATGTTAGCCAGGTTCATGGAGTCTCAAATATGGTACTGGCCTGCTGGCTCCATGGCTCTGTGTGGGGAGGGCTCAGAAAAGGGACAATGGCCTCTGCTCGCCCAATGCCACATCAGCCTCTCCTAGTATACTACTGGCGCCCTTCAAGTTTCCACCCCATCACTGGAGCTCAGAGGGATTGAGTCTGAGTAGGTGAGTCCATGTATGGGTTCTTTCAGAGGAACTGCTTGGACTCCAGAAATTTCTAACACAAACTCAATCCCCATTGGTTTTTGCAGCCAGAAGTTATGGGGACTTATCTTCCTGGCACTGGAACCCTGGGCTGGGAGGCCTGGTGTGGGGCTGGGTCTGCTCACTGCTGAGATATCCCTCCCGAATTTTTATCCACCACACGTGGTTGGGAGGCCTAGCTGTTCCGCATCTGTGCCCTTCCTACCAGTCTGGATGGACGTGGTTTCTTTAATTCCTTAGTTGTCGGGCTTCCATTCAATTAGATTTATAATGGTTCTGAGTGATGTTTGTTCTATATTGTAGTTGTAATTTTGATGTGCAAAGAGGTGAACGATGTCTGCCTAGGCAGCTATCTTAACCAGAAGCGTCAAGGGAATACTTCTTAAATGGAAGAGCATCAAAGAATTTGTGGATATATTTTAATGCCACCACAATGTCTCTTCCTAAAAGCTTCAGCTTGAAAAGCAAATGGAGTTCATACACATGTGTGGCACAATGATTTTTGTATCTGCCGCCCAGAGGATGCCCTTTGATTGCCTGGTTCTGGTGGCCAACAAAGGTTATGTTTGCAGATACCATAGGTCAACACTATGGGTAAGGCCATAGGGAGCAAGGTCAGAATTTGATATCCCTGCTGTTGCAGGTTGGAGTCCCTGGGACTCCATCAATATATTTCCTTGTCCTGTGGGTGGCAAGTTGTCATCAAAGTTTATGGCCATAAAAAAGAGATGTGGAAAAAGACATTACTCTGGACATTTTACCTTCCTCAGTTTTTGCAAGATTGGTTTGAAACTGGATGGTTTTATTGTAGCAGACAAGACTTGTAACCAGTGTGCCATTTAATTTAATTTAATTTTTTTTTTTTTGGCAAATAACAGTTGGTTCTAGACATTAAATTTCATATGCTAAATTCCTTAGTTTATAGGAATTCTAACACTGCAATTTTGAACAGAATGTTTCCATAGTCACAAAAGCATTTAGAAACTCCATATGATAAATACATGAGTAGATATAGCTTTAAATACACAAAAATTTTTATGGCTGCAATTTTTTCAAAATAGCAGAAAAACTGAAGACAAAAATTAGACATTTTTGTAATATATCTTCCTTCATAGATGAACCAATTTTTAATAGATTAGGAATTTTTTCTACAAAACCTCCTAATATAAGTAGACCGTTAAGCTCTATTTTTATTTAATTCTAATCATATCAAATGCAGTATGCACATTTATATCAGGGCTCTTGATTTTTTCATGACTGGTCTTTACTAAATGCAATGAAATTTAAAGCCACACATTCATTTTAGATCATTTCATTGTCCTAAAATCTGCTTTCATAAAATCTGCCATTTTTTATTATATGATATTAAAAAATATTGTGGCATAATATATTGAATGTTATGCAACCACTCAGGTTGACCATAATCATAAAAGGATGGGGGGAGCTCAATCTTTACTTTCGTTATGAAATATTTAAATATTTTAAAGTATGATTCTGCATCAAAAAACTTTTCTGTGACTCTTCCCTGAGTTTCCAAGTCTGAAAAATAAGAAACCCATTAAACTTTAATAGATAAATATAGAAATATCAATCTTAATACTTACATTGTTTTTTTATTAACAAAAAGTATGTTCTTGCTTTTTTAATAAAATCCATACATTTAATAAGTATTAATAAACACTATAATGTGGTAGGATTTGGACCATATCATTTTCCCATTTGGACTTTGTTTTTCATTCATTTTCTCTAATAATTCTGATTAAAAAGTCTGTCCCCTTTTTTCTCTCTTGAGGTAACTTTGATCTAGAGTCATTTTCATTTTTCACAATGTTGCTGAAAACTTTATTTCTTTTTGCTAGTCACTAATATAGAGGGGTTCATTTAATCCTAATTGTAATTCTATTGACACTTTAGCAGCCAGCCTATTCATAATGAGGCACTACAAAATCTCTGGAGAATCCTATGTTTGAAAGAGCTGTTACCATCCATTAAAGTATATCGGTTGCTTTGCACATTTGAGAAATGTGCAAACTTTGAGAATGTAGAAACTTTGAGGAATGAGAGCTAGTGTTATCTTTTTATTATGCTAAACACTTTCTTAAATGTATGTAGGTCTTTGTGTTTCAAAGCCTTTATTTTTAGTTTCTAAAAATCAAGACTGAGTATATGAATAGTTTCATCTCTTAAAAAATATTTTTTGCTTTTTTAAAAGTCAGATTTATTGAAGTATAATTTACAGAGTAATATTTCCCCTTTTCAGTGTATAGTTCCAAGAGTTTTAATAATCACATACAATCATGTAACCATCACCATTATCCAGATATCGAACAGTTCCAACACCCCCCACGGTTCCCCCATTCCTTGTAGTCAACTTCTCTCCACCCCTAGCTTCTGGCAACCTTTGATCTTTTGCTGTCCTTATTATTTGCCTTTTTCAGAGTGTCACCTAAATGAAATCATCATAAAGTTTGTTTTTTTTTTCACTTAGAACATGCCTTTGTGATTCATCCACACTGCTGCAATGTGAGTAGTGTGTTCCTTTTTATTACATTATTTCATTGTATGGATTTGCTTCCATTTGATAATTCATTCACGGTTGAAAGCTATTTGAGTTGGGTCCAGTTTGTGGCAATTATAAAGCTGCTGTTAAGTGTTTACATCTCTTTTCATATGAATATACATTTGTATTTCTCTTGGATAAGTAGCTAGATGTAGATAGGAATTTTATATTAAGTATACCTATAACTTCGTAAAAAACTGTTACCTTGTTTTCTCAAGTGGCTGTACCATTTTCCATTCCAACCAGCAATATTTGAGAGTTCTAGTTGTTCAACATTCTTGCTTTTATTAGGCATTGTCAGTATTTTTTAAAACCCAGACAATCTAATAAGTGTGTCAATGTACTTAATTATGGTTTTAATTTTACTTTTTCCCTACTGAGTATGTTGAGTAACTTTTCATATTTGCCACCCGTATATCTTCTTTGATGACCTGTTCAAATACTTTACCTGATTTTTAACTGGGTTGTTTTCTTCTTATTGACTTTTGAGAGTTCTTTGTGTATTCTGGATATGAGGCCTTTATCAGATGTGATTTGCAATTATTTTCTTTTAATCAACTTATCTTTTCATTTTCTTAACAGTATTTTCCAGAGTTAGTCTCTCGCCCCACCTTTTTTTAAACTACAATTTTAACCTCTCCCCTTTCAGTGTCTAAGCCCTCATATTAACAAATTTGCACAAATTCCTAATGAAAAAATTAGAATAAAACTTTTGAAATTTGAGGCTAGAAGATAACCAACTTTAAAGATAGCATGATGCTCTATAACATTTACTTGAATAATATAACAATCAGGAATTCTCTTGGCTGAAAGTAGCCAAAAAACCAACTTCAGTGTCTTAAGCAAATTAGACTATTTTTCCTTGTTACAAGTTGAGAGAAAGGCAGCTGTTTGCAGGATTCATTATATCCACACTTAGGATGAGAAGTAGAGTAGGGAAAAGAACAGAACTTGTACCAAGAGAGCAACACTTTTCCAGAAGCTTCCCGGCCACTTCCAGTTGAATTCTCATTGACCAGAACAGGGTCATAGGGCCAGGCAGTGCTCAGTGAAGGGCTTTGGGTTAGGCAGGCCCACTAGTGCCTGTCTCACACAACAATTATTAAATAACATCAAAATATGAAAGATAATAGAACTAAGACATAACAATTAAGATCTAGTTTTGAACTCAAGGTTTTCCACAATTTGCTGGCCAAATAGCGAAATTTTAAAGACATCATTCCAGCTGTATTTTAGTCATGGATAGAAAACTAATAATAGAAATATAGTAGCTATTATAATAAGAATAATGGGTTATCACTTATGGGGCCACATACTTTATCTTCTTTGCTTCTTGAAGGTATGGTTTTACATAGCAGAAAATTAAGATGCATAGATAGTAGGTCACTTAAGGACATATAGAAAATGAATCCAGGACAAGATACTCATGGTATAGATTGGTCATGCCATACCAACTTATTTGTAGCAATCAGGGTTTTTAAAATCCGGAATGATTCAATGTAAAGTTCGTATTGTGGCATTGTCTACGGAGTCTGTATATACCTTTGTAAACAAAATCCCCAAAGCAAACATCCTCTTGCACTAGAATTTTAGCTGTTTGTCTTAAATTCTATCTAAATGGGAATTTTGTTGTAAACTTGGTAAGTAAATTGAAGTTAAAGTGGAGCTTTTACTTCATTAGTGTTTGTTATTTTCTCAGTGATAAAATTTCCATCCAGCAAAAGGAGTCTATTTGCTTTTGAATATAAAAAGTAAAATTTAAATAATTCAATTAAAAAGATTGACAACATGCCTTTCTATAATGAACATTAATGTTAGTTCAGAGTTTTAAAAGTAGGTATTAATATTTTTTCTTTTGGCTCTGGTACCAAACATCCTAACTAGAATATCAGCAGAACAAATGAATAAATTAACCTTCTGAACCAACTCACTACAATTCCATTGCCTTTACTGAATTAATCTATATTTATAAATTTTCAATAGCTTGAAATATGTTCTAAATATGCAAAATGCTATTGAATCTGTGATAATTATTCAAGGTTAGGAAGTCACTGACACTAAAATGTAAGATAAAACTCTACGAGAGTTTCTATCAGGTGTATTGCCTTTCACTAGGAGGTAAACCCACTTTAACCAGTGCACTGTGCTTAGCAATGCTGCTGTTGCTGGAGTTTGCCAGAAGGTTGGAGACCCAAGGAACTCGAGACCATTAAGCTCCACTGTCCCTCGTTGAAGTGCATACAACTGTTTTTTGTTTTCCCTTTAAGAAATCTCTCAGGATTAAGGACTTTAAGGATATATTAAGGACTAAGATACTTTATCTTTTCATAGCTACTTTCTCTCAAATTTTAGAAATACTTTTCCAATTATCCTTGAAATATAAAATAGTCAAAGATGCATTTTTATCCCTTAGGAACTGAGAGGCTAGGAAACTTTCCTAGGGTGACACAACGAATAGAAATAGAATTAATATCTCCAAGTTTTGACTTGACTCTAGAACCAGACCATGTCCTCTTCAGCCCATTTTTGAAAGCCAGTAGAATCTACTATTTCACTGAACAAACTAAAAAAGACTGGCAATAATATTGGGATTATTTCACTTAATCTTAGTATATTACAAGCATAATGGAGGAGTAAAATGCTATTTCACCTTCATTTCAAGTGAGGTATACATTGTTTTCAAAATTGTTGTATTGTACATTTTTAGCCACCACTTCTATAATGGTAGGTACCATAAAAAACGTAGATACCTTCATTCAGAATAGAAATAAACACTTGTGATATCTGCAAGGTTTTGTTTCCACACATGCTGCCAAAACAATAGTGGTCTGATGCTGTCTTAACAGAAGAAAAACCGATGCGATTGAAAGAGAAAAGAATTTTGAGGCAGTTAGGCATGAATCTCTGCGCTAAATCTGCCACTAACTAGCTGTGTGATCAAGGAACGTGTTGCCATCTCCATGGCTGTTTGCTTGGGTGTAGATTTTGCCTGAATCATAAGCTGTGAGTCTTGCATGAGCTCATAGATGTAAAATGCTTAGCAATACACTTAGCTTAAGCCCTCATTAAATGCACACCAGAATCATGATAATTTACTCCAAGAATTATTTATGGAACATTTCCAAGACCCTTTACTCAGTGCTACACAAGTGTATTTTTATGGATTACTAACTATTGCACATAAAAAAAAGATATAGCTTGATTCCTTAGTTCAGGGTTTCTCAATCTCAAAACTGCTGAAATTTTGGCGGATAATTCTTTGTTTTGGGTGGCCACCCTGAGCATTGTAGGGTGTTTAGCAGCATCCGGGCCTCTGCATATTGGATGCTGGAAGCGCTATCCTTTTCTCCATTTGTGACAACACACAATGTTTCCAGACATTGTCTAATGACTCCTTGGTTGGGGTGAGGGGCAGGGGGAGAGTAGCCCCAATTGAGAACTACAGTTTTCGATCAACTCTTCATAAAAAGTGTTGATGAGCTTCTAGTCCTAGGAGATTTCTTCCCAAAAGATTGGAGTCAAATAATGTAGGAACCATTAAATAATAATAATAATTATCCCAATTGTTATTAGTCAGCAAAGCCTTTATGCTTTCTACAAAATCATTCTGGGTCTAGATTTTACCCTCCTTTCTTACTATTTCATTTAAGTTGTTGACATGAAACCATAATTGATATGTTGCTAGGTGTTGCTAGCTTTAAGAATTTCTTATTTTACTTGTCTTAGTTCCTGAATACTTTTTTTCTATGAATTATGAGTGTGTCATGAATAGTAATATATCCTCCAACATGCAAAGGAAAGATAGTTATCCCAGTTTTGTGGAATATTAATTTAGAAAACTATTTTTAAAGTGTTACCTACATTCAGGAAGTCACACACACATAAAATTTTATATATATATATAAAATTTATATATATAAACTTTTTACTATACATTTGATAGAGCTATATATGATGGTAAAAATTTTTACCAACAAAGTACTGTTTATAATGTGTATGAGAAAATAAATGAGTTCTTATATTTGGTAAACATGAATAGCCAAATTAAAAAATTATGAATAAAAATGATTACCTTCTCTGCCCCTACTTCTCCTCCCCACCAAAAAATAAAAGGGATTTGTGGCTCAAGTCATCAGGATAGTCAATTCAGACCTATTTCACTTTGTGTTAGGGACCTTTTGTATTGCAGTGAAAATGTATTGTCCTGTGAGGAAAGAATGAATATTCTTAATGTTCTTACACATTCTTTTTTTATGTGCACATTTTAGGTATATCAATATATGCATGAAACGATAACTGTTAATGGCTGCCCCGAATTCCGTGCCAGGGCCACAGCAAAGGTAAGACTTGAGTAACTTTAAAAATATACTTAACCCCAGTGATCTAGTAATTGATTGTGCGCGTGTGTGTTTCAGGTATTCTCGTGTGTACACTGTAAGAGAATTTAGACATCAGTGGCAGCCCAGAGTCTAGAACCAGTACTACTTCCCAGGTAAAAATCCTAATGGAAAATTGAACGTTTCTGCTGCTTCTGTAGCTTAAGAAAGGAGAATGATTTCATTAAACTCACTAAATGTCCATTTGGCACAAGCAAATCAACTGATTTCATTGTATGAAATACTACTTGGTTTTCAGACACATTCCTCTGATCCAAAAGATCCTGTTCCCTATTCAGTGCATGGAGATTTTTTGCACAAGTCTATAGATTTGATTTCAGGTAGGCATTAAGAGAGCTCACCTGACACCTGGTGATGTAGGACTCTTTCATGTATTCAGCCGAGCAGTAGGTAGCAGAAAGAATGTGATGCTGACCTAAAGGGCAGACCTGTCGCTTTTTGTGGTAGTGACCACATTTGCAACTTAAATCCAGATATTGCAGAGACCCAACTAATGGAAATGTTACAGCAATAGAATCATGAAAATATCTGGATAATAGACCATAAGGAAATAATAGTTTTAAACTAAAATCACCTCTACAGTTCTTATTTTACAAATACAGAAATATTATAATTCCTACACACTTGCTTTTTAAAAGCTTTTCTGTTTTTGGTAATACATAAAAAGTAAGAACTGGTAAAAGTGACCAAACTTTTTCATTTAATTTTTTTTGTGTTACATCACCTCTTGTTTGGTTTCCCTTTAGAGTTCTTAGGTTTGCCCTGTAACTGAACACTGTAGGTTTGTAAGTATTTCTTTTAACCCAAGCAAAAAGAGGGTTTTATTATCATTACATCATGCTTTGCTTGTACTGAAGTGGAACACACACAGAAAAAATGATCCCTACATGGTTTAATTAAGGGGAAAGAGAATTATGTAGTGTTTTACCATTCTCATTTCTTATTCATGTAGAACAGCAGGATAGCAGCATAATGTTGCAATAGCACAATATTTTCTGGTTGTTTCTGGGCTGTCTGCATTGCATCCATGTCAGCCATTACTATGCATGACGACAAGGTTTGCATGAGCAAATGCATGGAGCTAAAAACAAGCCATTATTTCCATATCATTCACTTTCTTTCACTAAATGCAGACAGTAGCATAATGCTAAATTGATGTGATAATACTGTGTATGGAAAAGAATATGTAGTAGTTGGGAATCAATATTTTTATAGTGTTGAGTAAATCACTTTATAGTAGGCATCTAATCAACTGGTTAAGAAAGGCAAATGGAGGTGGATAATAAGAAGCAGGCAAAGAATATTTGCTTGGTAGAAACTGCTTAAGTGCTATAATTTTATTTCCATGAGGGGTGGGAACTGATGGTAAGTGATTTCATTTACTTTATTTTTAAAAATTAATATATGAATTTTAAAGTGAAATTATCTCCATATTAAATGATATTTTGTATATCTAGGTATAAAACCATAGACTGCTCATTGTACCTGCATTGCTGTAGTAGTTGAAATGTTAATGTAAAATTTCAGGGGAAAAAAATAACCTGCACCAAAAAAGAGGTCCACTAAAAATAATATGGAATATTGATGTGAAATAGTAATCTGTTGAATCTATTATTTTATTATAGCTTTTATTTTCTTTTAGGCATTCTCAAAAGAAGAATCAAATTTGCTAAGCCAGCGGTCTGGCCAATCACTAAATTATAGATGTATTTGCCAATATATACCCATATACATGAGTGCTTCACAGTGTATTGAATAAATAATCATGATGATTTGTGTGCAAGCACCGGATTTAGACTGTGTGTCATATGGAAAAGTGTAAGCCAGTAGCTCTGCCCTTCGGGTGCCCATAGTCACCATATGTACATAATTACAGTATATGTGCCATATGTAGGTAGCATATGGACCAAACGCATTTGGAGTGCAAGAGTAAGAATAATTCTAACTGAGATAATTGGTAAAGTTGTTTTATGTAGAAGTTTTTTATCATAATGGACAAGGTCTCAAAAGTTGGAAATAGCTGGACTGGACTTTACCAAAGAGAATGAATCTTAGATAACATCTCTGTGCAGAACGCCCCTCCCTTTTGTGTTCTTTCTTCACAGGAGGATGCTATAAAAATATGAGGAGTTGCCTGATCTCCCCACTGCAAAGCATATGATTAGACTTACTTCCCTTGTTTTATTACCAAATGACAATCTTTTCTTTCAGGCAACAGTTGCAGCTTTTGCTGCTAGTGAAGGCCACTCTCACCCTCGGGTAGTCGAACTGCCAAAGACTGATGAAGGCCTTGGTTTTAACGTGATGGGAGGAAAGGAGCAAAATTCCCCCATTTATATCTCTCGCATCATTCCTGGAGGGGTGGCCGAAAGACACGGAGGCCTCAAAAGAGGAGACCAGCTGCTGTCAGTGAACGGAGTGGTATGTTCATAAAATAACCAGAGGTTTTCTCTTTAAGCACATTCTTTCCCACGCCCCCCGCCCCCCTACACCGGTCCCTGCTGATACTGAAGCCAGTGTTGAAATCCTAGAACAAATCATAATTTTGTGTCCAACAGCTTCCTAAAAGTTGATGGATATTAAACAAACGAAAGCGGTAATTCACAGGTTTTATGTCTCCATTCATCTTCTTCCATCATGGTATGTATGAACTAGTTGGAAAATCATCCCAACTGATAGAATTTTCCCGTATAACACGCTAAGCGAATTAATATTTAGAAGAACATAATAATTTCCACACCCTTTTTATTCAAAGTTGATATAAGCAAATGCATTTTAAAAATAAAGATAAAACTCTTCACCCTATATTTTCTATTTTGATTAAAGAGGAGAGGTAATTTTAATATATGTAGTAATACATATGGAAAAGGATAATGCTCAGACAATTCTTTAAGCCAAGTGTACAGCTAGAGTATATTAAAAATGTCAGCCTCCCCCACAAAAATGTTTGACTACATTATCTATTATTCAATATAGATATTTTAATTTTCACATGAATTTAAAGCAAATTAAAATATATTAAATTTTTAAATAAAAGTAAGAACGTACTTTTTTCATAACCTCGTGTTCTTTGGATGCCGTTACTACCACATGTAATAATGAGTTGCTAAAGAAAGAGCTTACTGTAAAATGAGTACTTTTCTCCCCATAACTTTTACTAACATCAAAAACAAATAACTTCCCTGACTAGGGTGGCTCAGTGGGTTGGCCACCGGCCAGGGAACCAAAAGGTTGCTGGTTCGATTCCCGGTCCGGGCGCACACCTGGGTTGCAGGCCAGGTCCCCAGATGGAGAGGCACCCAAGCCATGTTTCTCTCTCACACTGGTGTTTCTCTCCCTCTCTTCTTCCCTCTCTTCCACTCTCCCTAAAAATAAGTAAAGTCTTTAAATAAATAAATAACCTAAAAGCACACATTTCAGAAGTGTAAATAAGATCATGTCAATGATTACCTTTTTATTTCCTAAGAACTGAAGACTTTAATAAACTAGATTTGGGGTTTTTTTGTGAACATAAGACTTTTGCTTAGACTATCCAGAGTAAAATGCATTTAAAATGTAATATTTTATTGGTAACTATGGGGTAAATTGTTCTGTACTTGTATCTTGCATTTTAGCTCTTTTTATTTGTTGCCTGACTAGTAGTTTTATAGATCCCAAAACCATTCCTTCACCTCTGCCAATCCCTGGTGTACATCAAAGTCACCAACCCATGAATATTTTCCATCTCTTCAGCCTTCCAATTCTAAAATTACCATTTTGTTTACTTTTGTCCATGTAACAGTGCTTTGAGATGAGCTCTGTATTGACCTTTAGATAAATGGCTTTTTCAAAGCATGTATCAGCTGATGATTTCAGAGTCAAACTTTCTAGTAGACTGCTCTAGAGCTAGGCCATGTGATTATGTCACAAAATAATTAATTTGTGCCTTAGTGTATAAATTTATAATTTTTCTGAACATATTGGGTAGATTTAAAAAAGCATAGATTTTAAAACGTGAGAAGTACAAAAAGAACCAAAATTATGTTAATAGTAATTATATAAAGCAACAATAAATATATATGAAATCACTTTAATAGGTAGTTGACTTTTAATTATCTGTCAAGAGAGCCAAAGAGTCTTGATTTAACCCATGCATTTGCAGGGAACACATCTTGTAGGCATTTCATAATCACGCATTCATTCCTTTCAATGACCATGTGAACTTATATGGGAGGCTTTTGATGGGGGGTGGGAATTGGAGAAATTAAATCAGACACTTAAGAGTCTACTGCTCAATTTCCATATGATTGTAGATTACTATCCCCTGAACTTTCATTTTCTAATCTGGATAAGGAGAGAAGTAACGTGAAGGGTGCTGATGAAGATTAAAGTACAGCAAAATGTCTTTTGAGAACTGTCCAGTGATACTTTGTTCATACACATTTTCAATAGGTAAGGATAGTTACTGAAGCAGGTTGAAGAGGGTTAGCAGTCCTCCTATGATAAGGCTAGTGCTAGTTATGTTACAAGTGAGTCTTAAAGCAACTTCTCCTGTACTTACAGGCATATTTTAACAAACATTTATTAGCAAAAAAAGGCATTAATAAATTCATGCAAATTCTTCCATTAGTTTGGTGAAATCATAGTTATCTGTACATTCAGATGTTCCAATTCACCTTAGAAAGAGGGTTCACTTGAGACAGATGAAACAACATTCCAAGACCAGAATTCCGGTACTCTGTATTCAGACTACCAGAAATTCTGTTAAATTGAACGCTGGAAAGAGGAAGGTTTAGTGATCAAATTTATGCCACTAATCCTATGGTACAGGACATGGACCTCTTTAAGGTTTTTGTACCCTGTTCATGTAAAAGTGGGTAATGTCTCCTAAAGTCTTTAATATTCCACATATATTAAGTGGAGTATTAATTAATTAAGTTCCATTTAGCATGGTTGTTAATGAGTCACTAATTTTGCCAGTGAGAATCTATTTTTGCCATATTTTTGCTAACAAGCAAAGCATCATTTATTCATTGAAATAGGTATAATAAATGCTTTTATAGTGGCCAGCCTCTAAAATGTTGCCTTCCTGATAGTGTTTTCTCACCACCATGGATTGGTTTAAAAAGCACTAAATTTGGTGTATAAAATATTGCACATCCATATAATCAAACTATATATTATAAATGACCTATTTTAAAGTATTTAAAAGTAAGTTAAGTACATTTTAAGTGTCTTAATATTTATCAGATGTTCATCAAGAGGTAGTTTTCCTTCTGTATATGAGAAACTGCATGACCCAGTGGATTTCCCATAGTCACAAAAAGAGTACTTAATCCAAAGGAAAGACCTTGGCTTCTAACACCCAACCCAATATTTTTAATATAAATAATTTCATTCAGACCAAGTATTTAATGAAAAGGGTTACTCTGTAATGAAGGGGCCAAAAGAAAAGAAAACAAAAGATTAGCAAATGATCAAATTATTGCTATTTACACTTACAGTACCATTTGCGGAAATTAATATGGAAGATTTTCAGAACATGCCATTCTGAACTGAGAAAAATTTTTGGAAGGACATGATTTGTAGGACTGAAACAAACATTGACTACTTCAGTACTCTAGGGAAAACTTCCTAATGCCTGCCGTAGAAAGTAAAGAAATTATTCCAAGGATCTTTAAACATCTGAAGAGATACAGCATCTTAGAGGTCAGAAAGAAGGAAACTCATACCAACTCAGCTATCATTGAGAGAAATATTTTATTTTTTATTCCTGAGCTCCAAAAGAAGTTTCCCAGGGGATTTTTACAAATGAGACATTGAATCACCTTATGCAATGTTACAGAAAATACAGAGGCTTTCTGTATATGGCTGCCTCTTAAGCCAAACCTCAGTAAAAATTTAGAGCTGAATTCTCAATTAAAATTGAACATTAGCAGGAGGTTAAAATATTACAGATAGAATTTACAGCTTTTTAATGATCCCCTTTGCACTCTCCTATGCCCAAGTGTTTCATCAACAATTTTGAGAAAAGACTACAGGGCTCTTTATAAAGGCAACAGCCAATGTGGAGCCAGCAGGGATAGTAAATACATTTAGTGATGGAGTCCAAATATTGAAAAGCCCAACAGTATGGTACAATAGACCCAATATAATAAGAATTTACATGACATCCTGCTCCTGTACCCTGAAAACTAGCTACCTGTGTGCAGAATTAGGGAGGAATAATAGGTAAACATCAAAACCTGGGAAAAAGAAAGGCAGGCCTGGGGGATTAAGAGGAATATTGTATGAGGCAAGTTGGGAAAAAGAAAAACAACAACGTGTTAATGTGATTGTAAGGTTCATAAATACAAATATTATGCACGAATGTGGAAAGAGATGGTCCAGTGCTTGAATGAGACAGCCCATTGTGCTACCCGATCCTGGTTTCATCCTTACGAAGAACAATAAGCTAGGTCAGGTTGTAGGTTCAGTCTCTGGTCGGGGCACCAGAGGGGAATCAATATTCCTCTCTCTTACATCAATATTTCCTTCTCTCTCTCTCTTCCTCCTTCTCTGAAATCAATCAACACATACTTGGGTGATCATTAAAAAATATTTTTTAAAGAACAATAAGCAAGTTCAGAGATGAGTAGTTTTGCAAACAATAAACCTGTCAGAGAAGGACTTGACTGTTTAAGATAGAGAAGAAAGCATTGGGGAATGACGGCTATCTCCCGTTGCCCTCCACTGTGTGAGGCATGAGGTGACAGAGCCCAGACCAGTGGATAAAAGTCACAAGGCAGAGCTCTGTAAATAGAGAAAGGCTGAATCATGAAATAGCATGTGCCATTGTTTGAGGTTTTAATCAGAAGTTAGAAGACCACTGGCAAGAGCGTTTCAAAATATGTGTACTGTGTAGAGCTGGAACAGTTGGCCCAAGGTTCCTTTTAACTCTGTGACTCTGATTCTGTGTCTTCAGATGAGATTTTGATGAGACTGCCACATACTCCTACACACAAACACATACCTCCTCATGTAGTAAATAGGCTCCACATAGTCTCTGTCTACACTACTGAGACATTTTTCCTGAACAGAAAGATTATAAATATACTATAATACTTATAACACTTATTTAGTTAGTGCTTTATATTTTATGAGTAGTGTTGACCTGAGATTCTCCCATTTGCTCCTCAGAGTAATCTCATGAAATGGGCAGGGCCTGTCTCTCTCTCTCTCTCACACATACACGCACACACACAAATGAATACACAGAAATGTGCACACAGACTCACATCCAACTATATACACATGAAGTAAATTTTAAACTTTATCATGACTATGATGCTTACCAAATGTAATAATTTATCATTTTAAAAGTCAGTTCCACTGAAATCTTTAAGCTCTGTGGATTGTACCAATGTCAGTTTTCTGGTTTTAATATTATACAGTAGTTTCAC